ATATGGCTCTGCACGATGATGTCAGCGGAAAACACTTTCAATAATTGCTATGATTAATATTCTCAACCTTCCAACACCTTCCCTACTCCATCCTGCCACATATCTCCAGTCTCGGTTCATCTATCAGTCTGCTCTCAAACTGTTTAAGTCCTCAGAGTGATGCACGGTGCGGTGCCAAAACCTCTGTTCCAATGCAAACTATTTACATTCATTCAAATTATGAGAGGAGGAGTCTGCGGTGCAAAAAATCACCAGGAGCTTAAGAGGTACAAAGAATATAAAAAAAGGCAGGGAGATTTTTTTATGAGTTTGACTTCATTTTGTATCAATTAGAAAGACAATATTGTGTTGGGTGAACATATTCTGACCTCCCAAAAAGAGGACACGACTACACGGGGCAGAGTCATGGAGTTGCACTAAGTTAATTTTGAGAGTTTTTCGGGTCAGATCGAGTGTCTTTTACGCACTTCTAACTCAGTAAGTCCACGTGACACAAAACCGCAGACATTTGAAGGATTTTATAAACTTCCCCAGACAAACCCGGACAGCCCCCCTTAAAAGAGGACAAGTTTGGGTAAAAGAGGACATGTGGTCACTGTAATATTGTAGTATTGTCTCTTTGAAAATTCCAGATATCAATTATTTCAATTGGTTGAGAAATTGCATTTTAATCTTTAATATGATACAAGCATTAAAAACACTGCAAAAGCCTGATTTTTGTTATGGTAGGCAGCATTTTATTATTTTCTTATACCATGCAGGCCTACTGTATGTCCATGTGTGTCTAAAGATGTGTATGTATCCATATTTATTCATCCCACATACATGTTTGAGGTGTCAAACGCACTGGCTGGGATGTGCGTCAAACTCTGTGAGGGTTAGGCTTCCTCTCAGACTGCGCACTAATTGTTTAGGAGGAAAAAGGTGAAACAGATATGTATAAACAACGGAGGTCTTCGAGAAAGCAGACACAGACGTTCGGGGCCAAGGACAGTGGTTGGCCAGTCATATTCACCATTCACACTGAGGAGACAGCACTGCAATGTTCTGTCCAATAGCGTCAGGAAAAATAAACTCAGTCTTCCTCCGTGTTGATGGACGAACTCAAAGCTCAGGGTCAGTCAGAGTAATAACAGTCTGTACCATAGAAAAACAATTAAACACATTTATACTTTTATTCTGTATTTTATGCCTTATAGAAAAGAGCAGCTGCCTTATAAATAGACCAATCAGATATGTATTTTGTCTGACTCTTTTTCACTTTTATCTCTCTTAGACTTGTCCCTCGTATCTGTCTGTTCATCACTCTAGTGGTTCACACAGCTTTTCACTGTCTTTGTGCATCCCAAAAGCGCTGATCATAAAAAAGAAATATGTTCATTGCTGGGAATAATCCTACTCCCTTTATGAATGAGATCTTTAGACAGTGATGTTCAGTGTAACAAATTGATAGGAGTCAATTAAGCATCTATTATTAACCTCCTATGGTTCACTGTCAATTATCTGTCCCATTAACTCTGTAATACTGTACGCAGTATGTGTTTAACAGTGAGGAGATCCAGCATGGCTTGTATCCAATCTGCACTTATGAAAAAAAGAGTAGAAATGATGACTTTTAATGTCAGTTCAATTTAATTAGATTTAATGAAATGGTTAAGGTCATTTATACCTCCGTTCCTTGGCTCTAAGATGATTTATAGAAATAATAAGGTACGCTTATATAGATTAGTCATAAATTCCCCACACTTGTTCCACAGTCTTGAAGATGGTTTTCCCGCAATAATTACCATATTAAAGATAATATTACTGTCTACTTCAGAAATGCGAGGGGAATTACTTATATCTGTTTAAAGGCATGAGGAAAGTCGGGGAAAGACAGTCCTTAAAAGTGGATTATCTTTTTGTCTTGCAAGCATGCTGAAAAGATAATCACCACCATGTGGAAATTGTGCACATTTATCACATGTGGTTGTTGCAGAAATGTTCAGCCATTTCTGTGTCTGTGTTACGTGATGCCATTTCCTGCCATGTCCCTCTTGATGTTCATCAGCAAACCACTTCGCTTGTGAGAGGAAATCATTCTGCTGCTGCACTGACTGGATCCTATTTACACAAACTCCCCCAAAAACACTTAAGACAGGATATTTGATTGTGAGAAGTCTTTTCCATGTGTGTTTTTTCCCAGGGCAGGATGTCACCCTGGGTTAAGTCCTGAACATGAGAAACACACAACTCAAAGTAATGCTGCACGGTCACAAAATATATATTCAAGACTGTTAGAGAATTGTGTTGCACAGAATTGTTTTTCTTTTTTTTTTTTTTATGCGATTGTTTTTGCCGACAATGTACAGAGTCGGTCATGTGTTACTGAGCTGAGACACATTGCATGAAGGAAAATGAGCTCAGGAAACAGATGACATTGTAAACTATTAGCAGTGGTTAGAATACAGCACCAAACACAATGACATACAGGAAGCGTATTATGCAAAAATCCAATTCTTCTGAGAGTTAGGAAGGAAACCAGTCTAACCACAGAAATCCCAAATACCAGCTGGCTAGCTGTTGACATGAAAAACTGAACTGCCAAGCCAGACATGCTGTCATCAGACCCTAGTGAATAAGCTCCAACTGCACACACTTGTGTTTTGAGTCAGTATCTGGACATCCTCTCAGTGCAAAAGGACCAGTAATGTCCCCGTGGCAGCCTTTTTTGCTAATGGCTCTTCCCTGAGAGATTTACGAGCCATAGACACAGGACAATTAGAGAAAGGGAAACACAAAAGTCCAGAGGAAGATTTATGATTTACAGAGGTGCTATTTTTGAAATTGAAAGTCTGATTAGAAAGTGCTGATGGTCTGATCTGGTAGAGGACTCCTTGACATGTGCAATGTCAGGTTCACTCAGGTGCCACTTAACTGGTGGCCTCGTTACATCCACTGCAGTACATGGTCCTGTGATGTGACTGACATGTCCACTTTGTTTGTTCACTCTGGTGCTTCTGTCATTAACATAAGTAGATGTAATGGATGAGTCATAGGGAGATATATGGCGTGATGACAGAGCTTGTTCAGTACAGCAGGTCATAGATTAATACTCCTTCTGCACTACTTTGCAAAACAGGAACACTTTAAGCTTTGTTCTATGACTAAAAAAGACCTGTGACACAAAAAGACTTAGAAGAGAGTGAGGGATAAAAAGAACATAACAAAGCAGGAGCAGTGCAAGAAAAAAAGACAAAAAAATGTGCTAGCTCTGCTAATGTTTGCCCCAGTTGGCAAAAAAAAATTTGGAATGGTTTACCCCAGACCCCATGTGAATAAGTTAAGCTCAGTTTTGACCAATTCTCAAGTGTTTTCTTGCCTCTGCATGAGGGATTAAATGTCTATTCAAACAACAATGAAGTGGCTGCTTCAAAACACCCTCAATATGAGCAAATTAGAGTTGTGTTGTTCGCGAATGATTCAAAAGAACGAATCTTATAAGCGAATGTACTGAACCGAATCACTTCTTCAAGCGATTCGTTTGTCTCTCAGTTCAGTTGAGCTGTCAGCGGTGCAGCTGCCATAGCCCGCTGCAGGGAGGGAGAGAAGAAGGGACTGCACATGAAGCCACAATACTCTCTCCTCCCTGGCCCAGAGGCCGCAAACTGAACTGAAACTGGAACCATTCAGCTGTGTATCAGTTCAGGAAGTTGGAGTCGCAGGCTCTTTCTGCCAAGCGCTGAATTTTTCGGTGATACAGTGATTCAGTGAACGAATCTTTTGAACGAATCTTTCCAGTGAACTGATTCTATCGATTCAGTACATCTAAAAGAACTGCCGTGCCCATCACTAGAGCAAATTGCCACCAATGCAAAGCAATTGCATTTTTAGAGGCAGGCTGACACCCACTGACTATGCTATCACTTTCTGCAGATGATACCCTTCTTTATTTTTCAATTAAACTTGACAATATCCCATACGTTAGGTCAGCTGGTCCAAAAACTATAAACTTCAGCTCATTTCAGACTTGGGTTTAATTTCAGTCTTGTTCACTTATCAGTAACACAGATCCAACTAATCAGAGGCTAAGACAGCTTAGCTTGAAAACCGCAGATGTAGATAAAGTATATTTCATCGTAACAAGATGCTGCTGGACCCCAAAGACCCTCCAAATGAGTTTGTAAAAGTAAGAGTTTTAAAGTGTAAGTGTTTAATCTTTTTTGGTGATGACACTAAATCTGCTGTAAAACTGAACATCCTCTTCAAACTTCCTTTCTGCGGACAACATATTGTGCAGTGATTTTGTTCTCTGATTGTCCGTGTTTAATGGCCGCCTCCATCTGCCAGCCCTGTGTGTCTGCAGGCTAGCGGCCCGCGGCGCCCCACATTAGGGCCTGTTGGCGCAGGCCCCAGGCACATTCCGCTTCTGGAAGTGTGATTATTGAGGCCTGATTACAATGTCTGCGACCACGATAACAATCCAACCCTCATTGACTGCTTGGCAATCTCACTGCAAAACAAAACGGCTGGAGAATTAATGGTGCCTCAAACTCGGACAGGTTTTTTACTGCTGATAATCTGGATCCAGGGTAATTTGCAGCAATTGGTGGCATATGGTTTGATTTTGCACTCAGTGTCCAGCAACAGCTTTGAAATCTGTTGGACTGGGAGTGATGTACACCTGATAAACAATGCTATTTTTAGTGGATAAACAGGGAAAAACTAAAATAGGTGAATATAAAAAGTGCTTTTAGAAGTTTCATAAAGTCAAACAGCCATCAAAAGACAGTTTAGCTATCTGTTTTGAGTTCTCCTCAGGATGTCTGTGGGGTGGCCGAAGCATGTTGCTGTGGCGACAGAGGCAGAGAACAGAGAGCGTGTTGCTTAGTGTTTGACACGCACACCTGAAAGCCCCCATGTTCTCTTTCTGTAGAAGTGCCTGTGGTGGTCTCCAACTGCCAGCTTGTTTTTGAGGGGTACTCATTGCCTCATCCCTGCCTCCAGGCAAAACTCCATCCCTATCCATACTCCCCCACCTCCCCCTTTTCTATTCTCCTCATCCTACCTGCACTCATCAACTCCCTCTTTTGCTCCGACTGCTCTCTCTGTCTCTCTTCTTCTCTCTGTTCCTCCATCTCTCTGTCCCCTCAGGGCAGCAGATTCAGCTAGAAGTCTATTGCAGCGATCAGAGCTGATAACCTGTACTCCGGACAGGCGTGCCACATGGGGCCACACCTTGCCCGAGGATAGGTCCATCCATGCTGGGGGCAACAGAGGCACAGTGGCCAAGGGGGATGAGGCCGGGGGCTAGGTCTAGAGTTGAGGCCAGGAGCTTGAACCGCAGCAGGAGCAAGAGGAGGGGGAAATGGACTGGATGCTGGGACGGCAGCTGCATGAGACTGAAGGGCAGGGCAGGTAGACATGGGGAACAGAGAGGGTTGATGGGGGAAGAGATGTGGAGCCAGGATGTGAGGGAAGGGTCATGGGTAGTGACAGGGGTCTTCATGGTCCAGCTGGGGCTTTACTGATCCATGGTGGAGTGGAGCTGACAGGTTGGAGAACAGCAGCACTCTCACCTGATCTACTGATGGCAGCAGAGGTAGGGGTAGAAGAGATGTTGGTCCAGGTTGGCATGTTTCTCTCCACTGTTTGATGGAGTGTAGAGAAGGGAGGAGTCGAGTGATGGAATCGACTGATACAGCCTGCTGTGTTTAAAGCTTCTGTTTATACCGATGTTTCAAATCAAAGATCAACTACAGTCCCCAGTCTGGCTGCAGTACGGCTACCGCACAGAAAAACAACTAGTTAACGATTCAAAATATGCACATGATAGGCACACTGTTCCCACAATGTTAATCAGTCTCTCCAGGAAGCTGCACAACTAATCCAACTTCTACAAACCTCTGTGCATTTCATCCAAAACTTTTTAGAAAATGTCACCAATCTTCTAAACGGCTAATTTTACAGTCTTTTAAAGCTCAAGAGTCATCTTTTTCTTTGTTTGCATGTAAAATGTGAAATGTTTAACTTTTTTTTAGACTTAGATATGGTTTAGATTTAACTAGCTGAGTTTTTTGTAATATTTAAAACATGCCAAGGTTAAAACTTGAAAAGGACAGAAAACGTTTGATAGGGATAATGAAGGGAGTGGTCACGCTGATATAAATCTTGAAAAACGACACCAGAAGCTCCATGTTGCAGCATCGTCAGGGCCTGGCAATCTTAGAGATGCACACTGGCTCTGCTTCAGTTGCCTGGATTGCAGGACAGGATCTCACTCGATATGATTTCCTCCATTTTTGTCAATTTTTATTTTTGTAAAGGTAGTAAGATAGTTTCTCTTTTGACAGCTTTCTTAATTGCTGATCAGCAATTGCGAAAGAATTGTTTGTTATCCTGAAAGTGCCAAATAAAAGAGTTTTTATTGCGTGACATCTATGGGTAGGTTCTACCTTTGTTGCAGTTATGAAAAAGGACCTTTCTGTCACTTTAGAGTCCACAGGCTGGAGTAAAGTTGGTCACAGGATGCAGAGCGAGATGCTATGTGCAATCTGATTTGTGCTTTTGTGAATGTCTTTCTCGGTATAATGTGTGTGCTTGTAGGATTTGTGTGTTGGTGCAGAGGCAGGACTGTGTAGTAACTCTGCCTGGATTGTCCTGTCTGTGCCGCTTCGATTCTGTCACCTTCCATGAGTTTGGGGAAACGTGGAGGAGGGGGTCAATCGGGGGGGAGAAGTGGTGGTGGCGGCGGTAGTGGCGGGGAGTGTACACAAAGAGTCACCCTGAATCTGCCAGCTGATTAATCAAGGGTGATTCGGCGGCAAGCGCAGCCTACCCGCTCCTTCCTGGCTAGTCCGTGTGTATTTATTTAGAGTAACCCGTGGCCAGTCACGCCTGACCTCAAACCATCAGGAGCAGCCACGGTTGCGGCCAAGCATAAACAAAAAACCCGTAATGAAGGTAAAAGGACAGAGGACGGGTGGGGAGGGAAGGGGGCGACAAGCACTCTTTCTTTCTTTCTTTCTTTTCTCAGAGATAGGAATCTTTAGCCGCGCAGCAGAGCTCATGGGTCCAGACTTTGAGCTGAAAATGCCGCCTGTGCCCTGGTGTTTACTTCTCAGCTGACATGGGAAGGGAAATCATTGACCTCTGACGGAACAGCCAGGGTCCATCCATCTTCCAAGCAAAAGGGTATCAAGTAGCTGCTTGTGAGGGGGAAACCGTCTTCCTCGCTCAAAGAGTTTATCAGATCTCCAGGTTATGCAACCAAAGAGGAATTATTTAAGATGACTGAAATGAAAAATATGGCATGGCTGCAGCAAGAAGTACATGTTTGAGACAAAAACAAAGACATCGGCCAAGATTTTATTCCTCCCTATTCTTCATCCCCGGTTTCATCTCCTCCCCTGTCTGAAATGCTCTAGTTCATGTTGAGGTTAAAAGCATCAGGCTTGATCAATTTCATCATCTTAGCCGTGATGTAATTCGCATTGCAAGCAGGAGAACAAGAAACAAACAAACTCCAAAGATGGAGCCTCTGTAGAGAGTTATTGATCGAACATGAAGGTTAGCCAGAAGTCTGAGAAGGTTGGCTCTCAAGAGGTCCCACGTGGCGCCAGGAGGCCCTGCTCTCTCTGTCTTTAAGAGCACAAAACACGGCAGAAAGAACAAACACAGCGGATGGGAGAGAGGAAGGGAGGAACAACACTTTCAGTGAGGCGATGAATCATGTGGTCACGAGTCCTTGTTAGAAAAGGCATCTTCAATGGAAATATCTTAGCGCTGCGATAAAATGATCAACAATCCTGAAAAGCATGTTTGTTGTTCTGTATTGAGTCTGTATTTATGGTAACTATTTTAATGCAAAAAAGCAGGAAAATACATTTGACCAAAATTTTACAGAGACCTAACATTTATCCACTAATCTGCAACATCAGCAAGAAGGAACTCCCTTGAAACCTCGAGCAGAACCAAACACACCGATGTTCAACCATCTGCCTCGACTTGCTGGGCTGAGAAGCGACCACAAATCTAAGGCCTCAAAGTTATTTTAAAGGCAAAGAGGAAGCAGGAGTCAACTTTAACAAGAGCAGGTGGCAATTCAGATGCCTGTTTACCAACTTTCATGTCCTCCACACACACACACCTCTACCCTCTTTGCCTCTTTGTGTTGTGAGGGTAATAGGATGTTGTGTTTGTCCAAGAGAGGCAGAGTGGCATTTAAGGTGACCAGGTGGAGGCAGGGAACACACCACCTGGTGCTGGAAGGAAAAAGGGAATGAGAGAGAGAGAGAGAAAAAGAGGGAAAGAGACAGCTTGTTGGGTTCTGACCCACTGCAAACCTGCTCATCCTCTTTTTTCCTCCGTTGCCGTCACATCCACAACAGCCATGCAGCACCTGCTGGACTCTAGCAGGAAGGGGGTCCCGTCTCCCGTAGTGGCAAACAGACAGAGGATGGGAGGATGAAGGGAGGGCAGGAGCGAGAGAACAGAGAGGTAAACAACAGCACCTTTTGTTCTGCATCTGTCTAGGCCTGGCATCCTACGGCGCGTGACAGAGAGAGAGAGGCATTCAGTGCACTCAGCAAACCCACACATGGGTGTTGAGTCACCCCAGATGGTCGTCACTTTTTTCCCTCTCTCTCTCTTTACTCTCTCTCTCTCTCTGTTTATCTCTTCATTGCTTCACCACTTCCACTCAACAAAGGATGGATTCTCAGTCTGATCTTAAGGAATGAGCGCTAACAGTTATAACTTCTTCATAGACATCTCATTCATGATGTGAATGGGATCGGGGTAAAGATAAGGATTTTGATTTTAGTATTAAAGTTTTGATAAGTTCAAATTAAGTTTCTAACAAAATATGGTGCAAATGTGAAATGATAACCCTTGTTCAAATTTTCTTACATTTTAATTTATCCTCAAATTAATCTGAAGATTTCTGTTTTTATTTATTTAATGTTTTCTTTTTTACTGTAGGAGTTCTCCTGGATGTTTTTAACCGGGGTTTAAAAAAACACCTGAATGTGAGAAAATTAGTTGTAAAGGTTACCCTGGAGCTGGAGCATGCTCAGAAGTGATCCGGCTGGTGTAGCTGCAGGAGTGACTTCACATCCCTCCTGTTAATCGAAACACATTTGACTAAATGAAGTAAAACCCCAATGTAGAGCAGATCCTTGTTGGAAAGTTTAAGAGCTGTCTGTTTAATGTTAAATAACTAGCTTTAGCTAAACATGGCTGAAAAACAAACAAATAAACATCTAAATCTGCATAACAAGACTAACTGCTGTTTAATTGACAAGTATTTTAATTTTAAAGTCTGACTCACGTCCATCTGTTATGATGGAGGAGACTGACTTTTGCATCCATCTCTTAACATTCTGGCTTCATTTCAGGGGAGCTGTTGTGCCATCTGTGTATATGTGTCACTGCAGAAGCGAAAATGAACCTGCACATTGCTTATCAAAAGGGACAAAGACTAATGATTAACCTTCCCGTATAAAACTTCTTACTTAATTATAGACATACCCAGTGTAAAGAAGTGCTACCTGTCTAAGCTAATGCCTCTGACAGATTCTCGCTTCAGGTTGACAAAACAGAAAAAAAGAAACCTCACCTTTTGACTTTCAACAGTTTGCATACAGAAGCAGACTTGACAGATGCTACGCTGGTCTCGAAAACTTGGGGGAGATGTGGAAAAATAAGAAAATGCATTATTAATTTCACAATGTGGATAGCTGATATTCATAGTGTGCAACCGAAGAACAGGCAGCCAGGCAGGCTGGAAACTCTAACCTTGAGCTTTCACCATCGCTGGTTGACATCTCTGAAAACATGTTCCTTTTTTCTCCGAGTGTGGGCTGTCAGCGGCACTGTCACAGGCAGGGAGCGGCGACGTTAAGTAAAGAAGGACACATGTGGCTCGGTGAGGAGGGGAGGGAGGCGGGGGGGACTCTGTAAAGTCACTCACAGAGTTCCTGTCACGGTTAAGTAGACAGGTGCTTACTGTTAACACCCCACTAATATCTTTATGCATATTTATGAATCCCCCTCCCTTATAATGCGTTGCTCGTTAATGTCACAGCTGCCAAATATTGACTATGACTTTCTTTTAAAAAGCGCATAAATAAAACAGCTTTTAAAGATTTTGACCTGCTTAAATACACCGCTTTTCCTGTCCCTTTGATCAGGAGGCTTTTCATTATTCAAGCCTCCACGCTTCTTTATATTCTGCCACCTCATCTGCAGCAAATATGCAATATATCTTTATTTAAAGACGCTACCCATCCCTTCATGCACCGTACCCACTTAATCCTGCCTCTTTCTCTCTGGTGTCTTGAGCATGGTCAGAGACATCTAAAGTGCTCTCATTACGGGGAAAAGTTTGCAAGCGGGGCCAAACTTGCTGCTGGGTCTCATCAGTGAGAAAGAGGGAAATGGCCTCATAGTCTCTGAGGATTTGTACGCTGATTGCTCCCTAATTCTGACTCCCGCTTTATAACTGCG